GCCTTAGGTTTGAGCCTAGCTCACCATCGCTTCGGTAAGATAAGTCGAACGCCCCCAGTGTTTGGTTTTCCCCTGTCGCTCGACCCTAAGTCGCGACAGGCTTACTGACCTAGGGACAAGAGGTCGAAACTGAGGTCCCTAGGGCAGCAGAGGCAGGTTTATATACAGGGGAAGTTTAGGGGAGGCTGTGCGCGCTGGTCCGTGCGCAGCTGGTCCATGCACAGCATGCCGACGCGGCCCCGGGGGCCGGTGAGTCAGAGCGGCTGTGTCAGCGGAGCCCGAGCTGTGCCGCGCACTGCCGTCCTATCTAATCTAATCGTACAGTAGATAACGACGCGTCCATATCAGGCAAGTAGTACAGAGGTCGCGGGTTCGAGCCCGCGAAAAGGAAAAATTAAAAAACGGCTAGATGCCGTGCCAACTCGTGACAGTTACGCTTGCAGAATTCGCCAACCTCATTGGCTGGTCAGCCCTTCGCGAGCCGAGAACGTGATCAAATTACGGCTCCGTCACGCGTAGTCATATGTGACGCTTTCAGCAACCTTCAGCCACATTTGGGCGCTCAAAAGCAGCGAAACTTAGCCGCTTGTTTTCCAGCGAGATTAAGTGTCGCTTTTACATGTACATATCTTATTTAGTAGCCTAGTGAGACTTTATCTAGCCACCACTGGTCCCCTTTGGCTCTACCAGCTCGGTTATCAAGCTTCAACGACAAGGCATGTAGGGTATTCCAGCCTTGCGAGAGGCGGGGAAGCTCAGTTCTGCATTAGTCACGCGTACTGAGAAAGTCCCTTACGGCCTACACAATCCTGACATGTACTGTGTCCAGTCTGCACGATTCACGAAACGGAGCGAATGCAGATACAACCTTGTATTAGGGAGGTATCCGCTGCGGTTCCGACGAGACGCGCGATTTAATACTGGCCGTTTTCCAGAGGCAGCCAGCTGCCCGGGCAGCTCGCTGTGTAGGGTGGCTTGTATGGGATACATCTCCGCGTTCTCGGCTTCCTGATCAATACGTACGATGGAGTCGGCACTGATTCATATCCACGATTAAGGCAGCCATTTGTTGCGCTGAAGCTTGCACGCCTCAGTGGCATGATCCCTGCATTTGGCTCAGTATGTATTGCGGGTACAATCAGTGTCCGAAGGCGATTCAATCATGCACATGTGCACTTCGGCGATGTATAAGGATTCGGCTCGCACATCATTTCACACGTTGTGGAGAAAGTGAGAAGCGGCGTTCTCAACCTCGTTGCTTACATGTATGTATTATCCAAGATAGGACATTGTTGAGTTCGTGCAGAATGTCCCACAACGAAATCCCTGCGAACATGCATGGCTTTCATACGAAATGATCCTGCATGTGGGTAGCCAAACTCTGCCACAGCATTCGGGTATTCGGAGGCCCCTGTGCGAGAACCTCTGATTAGACCGGGTGAAAAAGGCAGGCCTCTCGGAATCCATCACTGGGCTCTACCGGGTAGGCGGAGGATGTCTGCGGATCGCGTTGCGAAGCAAGCGCGTGTACCCCATGCGATCGCGCGATTAACTCGCGGCGAGACTCAATAGTAGGTTCGAAGACGTTACCGTGCCTTTCCGCCCCACCCACGTCCCACGGTTTAATCCCCAGGGGAGGGTCTTTTGTTATGGTATCGCGCTCTCGCTTTGCACGCAGTCATCAGAATCCACCAACTCACCGATGTGCCTTCTGACAGCGAGATACCTCCTCGTCTCTATTGGTCGGAAGCAGAGCTTGTAATAGCGCTCGACACGAGCGAGGCACGCACCGACATTGTGTTTGAAAATCGGACCATGGCCAAGTCCACGACATCATTACCCCTCCGTGTCACCGTCACGATGGATCGCGCCGGTAGGAATTGTGCATCATATTACGAGATACCGGGGCATGGGCTCTCCCCTTTCACAAGACGGGGAACTTGATGTATGATTCTCATCAGGCCCGCTCGTACAATATCGTCCGCATGCAGTTCAGACCCGCTATTCCGGTATCCAAGCGGCGCGTACCATAGCTGGGCAACCGAAACAAATTCATACATAGAGTTCCGGAGTCAGGGCTGTCAGGGTCAGCGTTGAGAACGCCGTGAGTCTCAGCCCGCGCTGACCTTGAATTACATCACAAACGCACCTGAGGGTGGCGTAGCACCTTACTTGGGTCAACGTACTTGACGATGGGAATGGAAGATGTGCCTCATGGGAACATGCTACATGGAAGGGGGCCGGACATATGCACGGGTTATCGCTTCGCCGCAAAAGGCGGAATGCAATCGCCCCTTTCGTTGTGCGGCGCAGGTGAATCTAGAAGGGGACTATCTTCGATTTGCGAAGATATACGCAAAAGGAAGCAGGTCTTTAAAGTTGTGTCGCTAAGGATTGCATCGCTGAGTTATAATGCTATAATAAGGGGGCGTTGCTCTAGGGAATCATCCTAAACAAGCAGTCTGAAGTCCGAACAGAAAGTCACCTCCGCTCACATTGCATAATCACGAAAGATTCTCTCTACGTGTTCGAGGCAAATATCGGAGCATGCTGACTTGGATTATGGAAAGCCTGTTCCCTTGCGGGATGTCTATGACTCTTCGTCAGATCTAAAAACAATTTAACACCTCCGTTAGCAATAAACGCGTATAAGCATTTTCACGTGACCGTATCTGTTGCTGTCCGCCGTGTCCGCCGTCACAGAGCATGACACAAAAGTCTGCCAGTCGCTGATCACTACATGTTGCTTCCTTGCGCGGAGGGAAACAGCGAAACCCCCGGAACACGTGTCTAGTCTGCTATATGTGACTACGTCAGACTTACTTATATTGTAGGCTCGTAACCAGCCACCATTTCGCACTCTGTACGAGAAAGGGGAAATTGAAGGAGTCAATGTGCGCCAGGATTACTGCCGTGGAGGCAGGCATTGCGAGGCATGTGACGCGATTAGACATTCAATCTCCGAACATACCTAATCTCTGTACTCTATATTTTCTCTCACGGCGAACGCGCTGCTGTCTCGCATTTCAATCGCAACGTATTTTGAGAGTATATAGTTGATGAACTCCGTTGTTGTTTACTTCTACTTCTTCACATTTACCTGGGGAAGATTGGAAGGAGGAAAGAAGGGAAGGAGGGAAGTATATACCGGCATAGCGGCGGCTGATGCTGGGCGCGATCGACGTCTGCTACCCACAAGAGGAGACGCGGAGTGTGAACATGTGCTCCCATAGTGTGGCCAGACTCCGCGGCATCATTCCGATCCAGGGGTCTGGTTGGTGGGGCTGGTTCACAGCCAATTGCTGCGCCCGCCGAAATCTGGGGCCAGAACACTCCAATCACCGCACTAGCCTGGCCCATTGTTTGGAGAAGCGGAGTACTAGTGTATGTCACACCTATTCATGTCTTTCACGAGCACAAGCTCCGCCCTTTAACCCAGCAACCGTCAATCAGTAGAACGACGATTTGGCCCCTAGCTCAAGGCCAGGCGTAATGTCCTTCTCTCAGCATGTTCATGTACAGCCAGTTCCGTCTTCGACCATCGGGTTGCCTGTCTCATTCATCGCCGGTCCATTGGCTGGCATGACACTTCGTGCTGAGCTGGAAGAAGTACAATCAGCAAAGATGGGTCGCAAGTGAGTGGTGCTCTATAATATCATGAGTCGGTATGAACTCAACGCCGGCAGATATGGGCACAAGGATCGTAGGGCACTCGATCCCCCGCCCGTTGTGCTCATGAAACTGTACCGGAGAGTCGGATACAATATCAACGCTCGGGTAGAAGAGGAAATTTCCGATTATGGGTTCGTGCCCATGTCCTTTGATTTTCGCAATGTTAACGTGAATGCCGTCAAGTTCCTTCAACAATGTTGGCCTCGTATGTCAAGCCGATCTTTTTCCGATCCCTGACACTATCAGCGCAGGCATCCCTGCTGGCCAAGGAACGTCACCAGCGTCGAATCCCCACCAGCACGTGATCCTGCCTCCGGTATACAATCGTTCTTCTGCTGTTGGTTCTACTTCTCGTGCCATGCCCCTGCGTGATCCTGCATTCAGCTTACCTGGCTTGCCTCAGAGGCCTGCGCCCCCTGGTCCTACACCAGGATTCGGCTCAAGCCCCTTCGTGATACCCAGTCCTCCTGCGCAAATATTTCGACCCGTGTACACCTATCCACCCCCTCTCCGTCTGACAGTAGCCCCAACGACATCTCAACAGCCATATGCATCGAGCCACAGCTTCCCAGAAAGTCTCCCTCGGTCTGACGTGGTAGCGTACTATGGAGGTCATGCATTATCAGAGAGTTCAAAATGTACTCAACTCATCGCGGGCACGATCACCGTTGCTGCGATTTGTATTGACTACAAGGGGAAGAAGTCCCTGATGTTCATATTCTCGGTGCGTTCCTCCTCTTCAGAGGCATCTATATAACCGCAAGCATCCGCGGTTATATAAAACCAAGCCGTGATGACATTGACGTCTATCGTACAGGATTTAGCAGTCAGGTCCGAGGGGACATACATGCTACGGTACTCGGCATACGACATTTTCTCCCATGTCCGGCATACTCATGGACATCCTGCGCTTGCTCAGTGCTTCGGAGGCCCCTTCCATATATACTCCACGAAAGACTTTCCAGGTCTTCACGCTTCCACTGATTTAACGAAGGTATGTGACGGCTCTACTAGACTTCCCATAGCATTCTCTAACATCGTGCAGCATCTTTCGTTCTACGGGATGCGGCTGCATGCACGAGAACATCAACGCGAAGGAAAGAAACGCAAGGCAGACGATCGAGAGCCTCGTTCTTCTGAAATCGCGCAGGAGAGCGTTGGCTCATCTGCGACATCATACGGATCGTCATCGGTACAGGACCTGCCTGGTAGCTTCCAGCTTGACAGCTACCGTAGCAGGTTCTAGGTCAGGCGACAGCGACGGTGCGCTTGCATATGGTACGGCAGAGGCTTTGTCATGCCACGGTTTCACGCCCGTACTTCGAACTTGTATAACAGTTGATAGCCGCAGAATCTGTGTAGTGACCAAGGTAATGAGCATAGTCATCAAACCTGTTAGTTCTACTTGTGAACGTCATAGGCGAATATCCTCAGGCTCGGCGCCGAATGTGGGTGTTGATTCCTGTGCGTGACAAGATTTTGATAAGCCTTCGTGGCTCAATAAGAGATGGTCGTCCCAAAATGGTCGACGGCTGCGTACGTTGGAGGGTATCGCAGATCGGCAACTTACGTTTCAAGTAAACGTTTGAAGTTGATATGTGTACAGAAGAGTGATCTTCGTCCTCCGCATTAGAGATCTGGTACAGCGCACCTTGCACATCATGGGTCACTCATCCACGCTCCCAGAATCGATTGTTGACTATGATATTCATATCAAGTTGGTTGGTGGCTCGAGTAGAGGGCGCTAACTACAATTAGAGATCTAGATGATCCCGATATTGAGCACAAGATTGGATCGGTCCATCACGAGACTGGATGCCTTCCCGCGGAGGTCTGGACGCGATTGCAGAACATAACCGACCTCAACCTCAAATCGTGTCGGCAACGTGGCTGATCTGACTGACCTCGAAAACGACTGCTCTAGTGATATTGGACGCCGAAGAGTCTGGATTGTCACGCTTGCATCTGGAGGGGGGGTCCCTCCTTCCTCCAGGCCAGATCGAGCGCTGCAGACGTTGTTTTCAAGCTCCGCTCTGTTCTCGTTGGCTCAAACGCGGTCGTTCTGCTCAACTCATTCACTCCCGCCATCGGGCGTTGATTGTTGGTAACTTCGGCTGGTAACGACCACCGTCTGGGCCTCTTCAATGGCCAGATGGCACGGACCGACATAACGGGTCTCTTTCCAGATCCTGTGGGAAGGCATCCACTGTCTTCGGATCCTCCAGCTAATATTGTACACGTAAGGTAAGTGGCCGGCACATCTCGCTCAACATCAAACCTCGTGCGAACATAGAGTCACAAGGTAAGCTTTCCTTATTCGTGACCACTGCCTCCTGATCGAAGTCTCCGGATTGTACAGGGTGATACAAGATACGGGCCCGTAAGTATAGGAATGCCTCGAGCGCTGGCGAAGGCTACAAGTGCGTCAAGTTGATGATTGCCAATTTCGCATATGGCGGTTTCTTTAGATACACCTTGCAGGGACGGACGGCCTCCGACGCAAGTTCATTAATTCACATGCCCTGAATGTGCATATCACGGTGTGATTGCTTGCTCCGCGAGGGTGACCGGGCGCCCGAGCACCATATCCTCGGCAAGTCTGACTGAGCAAAAAACACTTTCAGGCAGGGACCTTGTCACGACTTAGGGTCGAGCGACAGGGGAAAAACCAAATGCTGGGGGCGTTTGACTTATCTCACTGAAGCGATGGTGAGCTAGGCTCAGACCTAAGGCTAGGGACAAGTTAAGTTAGCATTGGTAAGTAAGTAAGTAATACAAGCGAGGGCTTACTGACCTAGGGACAAGAGGTCGAAACTGAGGTCCCTAGGGCAGCAGAGGCCGGCTTATATACATAGGGAGATTAGGGCAGGCTGTGCGTGCTGGTCCGTGCGCAGCTGGTCCGTGCACAGCTGGTCCGTGCACAGCATGCTGACGCGGCCCCAGGGGCTGGTGAGTCAGAGTGGCTGTGTCAGCGGAGCCCGAGCTGTGCCGTGCGCTGCCGCCCCATCTAATCTAATCATACAGTAGATAACAACATGTCCATATCAGGCAGGTAGTACAGAGGTCGTGGGTTTGAGCCCGCGAAAAGGAAAAAATTAAAAAACGGCTAGACGCCGTACCAAGTCGTGACACGATCTCTGTACTACCTGCCTGATATGGACGCGTCACTATCTACTGTACGATTAGATTAGATGGAGCGGCAGTGCGCGGCACAGCTCAGGCTCTGCTAACACAGCCGCTCTGACTCACCGGCCCCCGGGGCTGTGTCGGCATACTGCGCACGGACCAGCTGCGCACGGACCAATGCGCACAGCCTCCCCTAAACGTCCCCTGTATATAAGCCGGCCTCTGCTGCCCTAGGGACCTCAGTTTCAACCTCTTGTCCCTAGGTCAGTAAGCCTCTATTTGTATCCTTTCTTACATTACTAACTAATACATTTTCTTGTCCCTAGCCTTAGGTTTGAGCGCAGCTCACCATTGCTTCAGTAAGACTTAGTCGGACGCCCCCAGCCTTTAGGTTTTCCTCAGTCGCTTGACCTCAAGTCGCGACATTAGGTCGAAACTCCCCAAGCTGCCGGCGTCCCCTCGGGACTCTTTATATTCACTTTCCTTTCCCACAGGTCGGGTGGTGCGCACCCCTATGATACCCTACGGTACATATGATACGTAGATAGCCTTATATACATTGCCACCCCTAGAGGAACGAACTCTTCAGCACCTGCACTTCAGTGGGTGGTGTTTGTCCTCACGGATGCGTGGACTAGGTTCCTGCTGCATACTAGCCAAAAGCAGTACTGGGCCCCACGTGAACTGTGAACCTCAGGGTCTTCTCGGGCGCTGTAGCGTAAGCTAGTGTAGTACGGCCATTTTAGTACGCGCACCTCCCCGTCCTCCCCCCATCCAATGTGGCTGCCTACCAAGGCCAAGTTCATGCATTCGACTCGCAGGACCTCATCGACATCTACATCCCAGACGGCCCTGAGACTGTCATCTACCGTTGCGAGCAGCAGCCATGCCTGAACCGAACACCCCGATCGATCGCAGAGGACTACCCACGTTACAAAGCGATCCGACGAGCGCAACACCCGCTCGGACCCCGAAGCACCCTTGCATCTCGATCCGCCTCGCGGCACTCTCGCCCTGTCTCTCCTACCTCCCGCCTTCCCCAAACTGTCGCCGAGTCCAGTCAAGTACGAGGAGATCGGTGAAGAAGGAGTCTCGGAGTCCAAGTCTGGGGATTCTGTTGGGTCCGCCTCGCCGACAGCGCTCGCCCCCGCGTTAGCAGTCCCTGACATACGTAACCCCCCCCCTGCCGAACTGCCTTCGGCGCCTTCACCGCCGACTCTGCCAAGAGGCCGCTCAAGCACTCGCTCCTCTCGAAGTTCAACCAGTGGAAGGCCACCACAGCTGCCTCCGCCCCCACAGCATCCTCCGTCCCCCCCGATGCCGGTAATGTCCTCCCCCACGACCGCCCCCGACAAGAAGACCCTGAAGCTCCTTCTCCCACTCCGATACAATGGCAAGACCATTATCGAATGCGACAGGTTCTTGTCGCAACTCCGTATCTATTGGTTGATCAACACGTCATTGACGACCATTGAGCTCAAGGTACAAGTTGCACTGAGCCTGCTCGATGGCGACGCCCGCGCCTGGGCCACGCCTTACTTTGCCCAACTCGCGTTGGTGCAGATGGGTGTGCAAGGGGTTACAACCCCCTTCAGGAACGAAGCGGCCTTCACCGCTGCCTTCAAGGCCCACTTCGGAAATCTCGACGACGCAGCGGCAGCACAAGTGGAGCTGGCGAAGCTCTGCGTGGACAAGTCGGTCCGTGAAAAACGCACCGCTGCGGAGTTCTCCGCGCTGTTCAAGGGTCCGGCGGATCGCTCTGGGTATGGGGACCTGGAGCTACGTGACAAGTACCTGAGCGGCATCCCCTCCTGCGTATATCGCAAGATCGAGCTCGAGACCTTCACCACGTGGCGAGCCGCTGAAAAGCGGGCCACTGAGTGTTGACTTTTGGGTATGTCGGGCAAGCGTCGCTGCTGGCCCGGGTCACGTGGTCGTGCACCAGTGTGGGAATAGGACTTATGTAGGTGTCGCGCGCCGTAGGTAGCCCCATCGGTTTGTAACCTAATCACCCATTGATTCCTGTCCATCGAGGATGTTGTCTGCCGGCGGTCTTTCCAGCGTCGTTCTCACACTGAGGTCAAGCAGATCCTCGACATCAGCCGGGCCCGTCGACCCGAGTTGAATAACTTCTTCTTGGCCTGGGGTCGAGGTCACGGCGGGGCACGTGGTGGTGCACCCTCGTCGCACAGAGCTTTGGCCAGCATCAATGCGGCCGTCAGAAAAGGAGACTTCCCCGGCACCTGCTTTGGCTGTGGGAAGCAAGGATACCAACGCTTCGAGTGCCCCAACTGTAAGGACAAACCTTACACAAAACGCGCTGAGGCGCGGGCTACGGTTGTCACGACTTGGTACGGCGTCTAGCCATTTTTTAATTTTTTCCTTTTCGCGGGCTCGAACCCGCGACCTCTGTACCACCTGCCTGATATGGACGCATCGTTATCTACTGTACGATTAGATTAGATGGGCGGCAGCGCACGGCACAGCTCAGGCTCCGCTGACACAGCTGCTCTGACTCACCGGCCCCCGGGGCCGCGTCGGCATGCTGCGCACGGACCAGCTGCGCACGGACCAGCGCGCACAGCCTGCCCTTATCTCCCCCTGTATATAAACCGGCCTCTGCTGCCCTAGGGACCTCAGTTTCGACCTCTTGTCCCTAGGTCAGTAAGCTCTCCTGTACTTACTTCTTTTACTTACTAACTAATACATTCTTGTCCCTAGCCTTAGGTTTGAGCCTCGCTCACCATCGCTTCGGTGAGAACCAGTCGGACGCCCCTTGCTTTCAGGTATTCCCCTGTCGCTTGACCTCAAGTCGCGACATTAGGTCGAAACTCCATAGTGGCCGGCGTTCATTGGAACCCAAACACTCACACTCACTTCCTACAGGTCGGGTGGTGCGCACCCCTACGATACTTCACGGTACATACGATACGTAAATAGCTTCACCATACATCGCCATCCCTTGAGGAATGAACTCTTCAACACCTGCACTTCAGTGGGCGGTATTTGTCCTCACGGACGTGTGGACTAGGTTCCTTCTGCATAATAGTCAAAAGCAGTACTGGGCCCCACGTGAACTGTGAACCTCAGGGTCTTCTCGGGCGCTGTAGCGTAAGCTAGTGTAGTACGGCCATTTTTAGTACGCGCACCTCCCCGTCCTCCCCCCATCCAACGTGGCTGCCTGCCAAGGCCAGATCCACGCATTCGACTCCCAGGACCTCATCGACGTCTACATCCCAGACGGCCCTGAGACTGTCCTCTACCGTTGC